TACATTAGCGGGATGCGAGAGGGTACTACACAACGATGACCTTGGGCAGTTATTTGAAAAGCAAATAACTATCCCTTTTATGTGTAGTCGTTGCCTTTACACTGGCTGTTGCTATAACATCTAGTCTAGACCTTAGAAAGTGTCAACAAAGATAGAATGGGAGGTAATCTGTACTTATCTCTACTTTCTATACTATTATTATAATAAAGCGTAAACACACATTTCTTTGTTGCCTAAGATGCCAGCAGTTACAACATATTTTTGAATAATTATTTTTTTAATAAAAGAACCCTACACTTACGTCACGCTTTAGGCTACATATTGTCACGCCATTAAACTTAGGTGGTAAATATTTTGGATAAAAACCCTAATGTGGGGAAGAGACTATAAGTTGCTGCCAACATCAAGGAAGCAAGGTTGCCATCGTCTTGTCTTTTTGACATTTGCAATTGATAATTTGACATATGTAAACAATAAAATATTTTTTTTATAATTTTATGCGGATCAAGTCGCATGGGAACAACTAGTATTTTATAATTGACAATAGAATTTGACAAATTACAGGGGTCATTGAACTTGGCCACGCAGGGCCGTCGTGACGCGGGCAACGCACAGAATCCGATCCAAGCCCGCATACTAAAGGAATATTTGCGATAATATTGCAAAAAACATAACAAACAGTAACGGTTAGAAACTGTATTTATGGAATTCTGTTGCTAGGTTGGTTTAAATTGTTTCGTTAATCAATATTTAACACATTTAAAAGCTGCGTCATATTTGTTATTTTACCGCATCACAAAGTGTTCAAAATGTTTAAATGGTCATTATTTTAAAGTGGAACACTAACAAATGCCCCGATAGTACTATTAGTAGCTTGTTAAATTTAAATCGTGACTTTTTGTTGTTAAATTGCACATTTTAATGTTAAAATCCCATCATCACGTTGTAAACGTAAACACTATTATTTTTATCTTAAATTCGCATCCTTATTGTGCTCGTGATGTTTAATTATTTAACCACATAACGGAAAAACACTGGAATAATGTTTTAAATAAAACTTTGATAACCGTATTGGCGGAAATTGGGTTGTTTTTTTTACTAGCTTTAAAAAAAAACAAAAGTGAGTAGCCTATGTGTTCTTCTAGACTATGCTCTACATTTGTGCCAAATTTCATCGAAATCCGTTCAGCTGTTTAGACTTAAAACTCTAGCAAATATCCACCCATCCCATCCATCTAAACTACAACATTTATAACATTAACTAGCTGTTGCCAGCGACTTCGTCCGCGTGGCATTAGAAAACATACGAACTATATAAATAACAAAATGCTACGTATCCCTCGGGAACCGGACATTTATCGGGGATTTACCTTATCCCATGTGTGCTCCAGACTTTTTTTATATCTGTGAATAATTTCAATAACATATGTAGAACCGTTGCAGAATGATCTAGTAAACATTAAAAAACTAAATTAAAGAATCCTACGGGAACCGTAACTATTCCCGGGATAAAAAGTAGCCTATGTGTTCTGCCCGACTATGCTCTTAATCTGTGCCAAATTTCATGGAGATCCGTTCAGTCGTTTAGGCTACAAACGCTAACAAACATCCATCCATCCATCCATCTAAATTTTCGCATTTATAATATTAGTAAGATATAAAGTATGATTGATTACTTACTAGTGACTTTTTCCGCACAGAAATAAAATAAAAACACATAGTTACATATCTTTATAACTGTAAAAGAATTTTAAAAATCGGCCCAGTACTTTTAGAGTTATTTCAATACATTCAAAAATACACAACTTACCTCTTTATACATAAATAGATATCACATATATTTTATAAAAGCAATTCTTAACAGCTACTGAAGCGGGTGCACACCTTTGATTAAACTATCGCACAACGGTTGTGCGACTGTCGACAGTTTCGAAGCCAACTGTTTAGTTGCACAACTAAAAATCAAGTAGTGTGCGCTCCATATTAGCTCATAGGAATCAAAGAGAGAATAAACAGTTATGCCATGTTTAAGTTTCAAGAGCACACTATTATATCAAGATTCAATCATTATGTAGGATTGTGCTCAACTTGAGAATAAAAACTTTCATCAATCAAACCATTTAGTCCCACTATGATCAATAAGGTGACATATGGAACCCTTTTTTATGTTATACTTTATACTATTATAATAAAGCGTAAACACACACTTCTTTGTTGCCTAAGATGTCAGCAATTACAGCATATTTTTGAAGAATACTTTTTTAATAAAAAGCCCTACACTTACTTCACGCTTTAGGCTATATATTTTCACGCCATTAAACTTAGGGGGTAAATATTTTACATAAAATCCTAATGTGGGAAAGAGATCATAAGTTGCTGCTAACGGAAGCAAGGTTGTCATCATGTCATGTCATTTTGACATTTGTAATTTGACAAATGTAAACAATAAAATAAAAATTTCATAGTTTCATGCGGATGAAGTCACACGGGAACAGCCAGTATTCAATAAAATAAGTTCCAACCTCACCTCGCCTCCCCTCGTCGCAAAAGGTAGGACGAATGAAACTTTTTATTCTCATCTGTCTACACGTGGGGACAGGGGTGACGGTTGGGAAAATTCCATTATGTAGGCTAGTGGTTAACTGCTAGCATATATCTACACTGTTGTAGTGTAACACTCCATGTACAGTCGGAGAGACTGGAGGTGCCCCAACTAAAATTGTACAATTGCCTGAACATTTTGTAATGTGACTCGGTACAAAAATCAATAAAACGCAGCTTATAAATGTGTCTGTAAGAAAAAAGTCGGTCACACACGTTAGTTTATTTTTATTATTATCCCTTGGTTTGCATCTCTTTGATTTGAGATTTCGGTCGTTAGAGACTATACGTTGATCCAATTCTAACAAAGCTTGTGTATTATTGTTAAACATCTTAGTTAACTCGTATTAGGCAATATCGGATATCGCGAACCACATTGTCTCGCAAAAGAGGTCAAAAGGGTTGCCAAAAACTTAATTTGGAAAAACTAACTTTAGCTCGCGACTTCATCTACGCGGAATTCGCTGTAAGTCGCCTTTGTGTTCTTCTAGACTATGTTCTACATTTGTAATAAATTTCATCAAGATTAGTTAAACGATTTTGGAGATACATAGTGACATTCATTCTTTTATCCATTCTTTCGCATTATTCGTAAGTATGAATTATTATGATTTTTCCGAAACAAATTTCTCATTATCTACACATAGTCATATTTTCATTTGAAAGCATTATGTATTAACTAAAAAATAAAAATTCCTTATTGATCCAAAACAGTTATGAACAGTTAGTGGGACTCTGTCTCCTGAAGTAGTAATAACTGTATTTCAGGAGGCAGAGCCTTCTTTTAACGACTGTCTTGCGCAATTTAAAATACATTGTTACAAAAAAAGACATACAGACGAATTGAGTACCTCCTTCTTTTGGAAAGTCGGTCAAAAATAAGCTGAGAGATATACATATTTTTAAACAATTCTTTAGGCAATATAATTGTAACAATGTTATTCTATTTTCTTACTCAGTCCACCGATTCCCGCCAGAATGGCACGTATGATGTATGATGTATGATGTATGATGTATGATGACTTCTGGTTGACATTGGCAGATGTAATAGGGATGGGACGTAAACGTCAACTATCTAGTGTTGCGCCGCTACTCCTGTGCTGTGCTGATTTCTTCTTAACATTTCTCAATTAAAATATATTCTTACATAAACTAAACTAGTCTTCTCATAATTAACATAGCTTTAATATTAATTTTTTGGTAAAATTGCTATTCAATAAACAATTTGTTTTAATTAACATCATTTGACAACCCTATCAGTCTTTGTTCGCGTCTCATTGTTTTCTTACAAGGCGTTTGAATGCACCGGAAGTGAGATACAACCTACCACTAAAGTATTATTATTTTATATACATCACATAATTTTTACACAAGCTAAGTAATAGGTTAAAAAAAATATTTTATGTGCGTTAATAATTATTAAAAAAAATACATTGAAAAGGGAGTAAGAAAATAAATTAAACGCAAAAAGAAAAACTGGCAGCTATGAAAACATTCAATCTATAAATTGAAGTGGAGAAAACCAGCAAATAAATCACAAAACATCACGTAGGAAGGCTTAAACTTAGATATCACGTGTGTTATCCAACGTGATTTTCATAAAGAAATGAAAACATAAAAAATCTCATATATAACCTTGAATTAAAAATGTACTTTCGGTATCAGGGGAAGGGGTAGTCTAAAATCTTAACATACATCACCCAAGGGGGTTCAAAAAGTTGCTAAAACGACGTGATTAATTAACGACTCCCTATATTCAATAGTTAACAGTTACATAGAATAGAAATGAAGGTTCAACGACCACTGATACCAAGCAACTGCTCTTGACACGACATATCATGTGGGTAATTTTTTGACAGGCAGGTATGCATAATTATAAGGCTGGGTTTACGCTGTCAGCAGAGATAATCTACTTCAAGAAACTAAAAGCTTTAGGATTAAAAATCACTATTTTAATTAGATACTTCTTAACAAGTTTATAATTTTATCCAAGATAACTAAGCAAGGTTTTATATTTCAATACATTTATTAAAAATACTTTATTTATGATAAAAATATTATGACTGCATCCACAGTCAGATATTAAGTTAAAATTAATAACAAATGATTTGCATTCAAATCTATGGTAATTTTATTTAAAAATTTCAAAGACGAAATGTTAAATATTGCAAAATAATATATCATTAGAATAAAAAACAAAACTCGTAACAAATTTATATTTCGCAACAGCAACCGTGACAATTGGAAAGAAACCATTCGAGCGGTTAAATTGGACACCAAGAATTCCAATAGATTTTACTAAATAACATAATAACCTTAATTTTAGGCTGTGTAAAATCGATTAATCTTACAATATAAAAACACCCATATATATGACATCAACGACGTTAAAAAAACATCGATATAAAGTCGTCCCATAAGCGAGGTGGGCTAGTAGCGGCAAATCCACGCGCATCGTCGCTTCACAAATACTCGTGCATTGTGCGTCCGTGAGAAGGTCTTCATTGATATTGATTGAACTGCGCCTCACCGTATCAGTATTGTACACGACTCGGCTCTATCTAGTCGCGCGATGTGGAAGGTACTCACCTTGGTTAGCTTCGCACTAGCCGCACCAAAAAGCGAACTGGACTTCAGCTCTTTGAACACATTCTCGTTACAACTTCTTTACAACTCGTACGCATTTCAAGAAAGCTATGGAGAGAAGAACATGGTCATATCCCCAATGTCTATTTGGAGCATGTTCACATTACTAACTGAAGGATGCTCCGGTGAAACTTTTGACCAGCTAATGAAAGAACTGCGACTACCCAATGATGTAAGAGCAACCACGGCTCTTCATTTAGCGGTCTCCAAAATGCTGTTGCATAAAGACGAGGACGTAATCCTAGACGGAGTATCAGTACTATTTGCTGATTGCAATTTAAATATACATCAAGAATTCTGTCAATATGCGCAAAAATTTTTCACACAAGTTTATGTTGTCGATACTAGTAATGAAACATTACTAGCCGATGACATAAATACTTTTATTTGTAAAGTGACACGTGGAAAAATACAAGAAGCGGTTACTCCTAGTGTTTTAGAAAATTTAAGAATGATTCTAGTCGATGGATTGTATTTCAAAGCGAACTGGACGTACCCATTCGATTCGACTCAGACAAGAGAAGAAGCATTTTATAACCATCAAGGTAAAATGATTGGATCAGTTAACATGATGTATCATAAAGCACCTCATAATATTGGAGATTCGCCTTCAATAGGGGCACAGATTCTTGAAATGCCATACGGTAAGAACGAGGAACTATCCATGTTAATACTGCTACCATTCGACGGCATGCCTCTAAAAATGTTGTTAGAAAATCTATCAAAACAACCATTAACGTGGATGAATGATATTTTAACTTCAGAAACATTACCTGAATTAGATTGTTACATACCAAGATTCAAAATCACTTCGCAATCTGATATGATACCGCCTTTAATGTATATGGGGATACGTAATGTTTTCGATAGTAGTAAAGCTCAGATGCCAGGTATATCTGACAGTCCTCTTTACGTGTCTAAAACAGTCCAGAACGTGAACATTGAAGTGACAGAGGAGGGGACAGTGGCAGCGTCCTCTACCGTCGTTGGCTTAGAGGATAGAATACTCTCGCAGAGATTCGAAGCAAATAAAGAATTTGTGTTTTTAATCAGGGAGAGACAATCTGGTGTTATTGTGTTTGCTGGTGTGTATGCTGAACCATCTTTAGTGTAATTGTTATAGTTTATTAATAAATGTTTTTTGATTTGTTGTGTATTTTAATTAAGACATGTAGTCAGTGTGTCAATTGACAATTTGTACTTAATGTGGGAATGTTGTAGTTATCTATTGTAGAATATGTCTATATTTGACCGACTACCGTTCCTTTCCGACTGATGAATCAAAGAGATTGATTGACATTCTTTTAAATCAACACTTTTCCTATTTTTCTTTTTATTGCACGCTTAATTTAGAGTTACAATATCATATATGTTAATTGTAAATAATATACCAAGAAATTGGCATACAAAAGCAGAAAACAATCAGAAACGAGGTTCTCACAAAACCGGAAACAAAAAAACTAAACGTCAAAAAAACGTTTTCAATTCTTGCAGGTTTTGAATTCAAGTACCGAGACAATAACAACTTTATAATCTTGCACTTAATGATAAAAATGTTATTTTTAATGGAAAAATACTAAAGACACATAGTAAGCAGGTTCAGGGATGGACAGGTGAAGTTGAGCGAGACCTTAGGCAGCAGGTCCGGGACTGGTGACAGTACGAGGTCAAGGAGATCGGATGAGCGTCGCTAACCGATCACTTAGGGGTCAAAATGATCAGTGGGGCATCGTGGTGGCAAGCGAAAGCGATCCCGTGGCGCCCCGGTTTAGTGTGGTATGCCCCATTATGGGGAGAGTCCCACATAACTCTCGTGCCTGCCCCGAGGCACGGAGTATGCGTAAAGCATTCCCCTTCGCAAAAAAGGGGTCAGAATGATGACTAAGGATCCGTTGATCAAAAGGGGCTAGTAAATAAGATTGAATTAAAATTTAAAATAGATTTATACGTTTGTATGAAATAAAATTTCTCACGTCCAAGCAAACAACGCGATGAGATCATACGAGTACAAATTCAGATACCATGACCGACAAGATGCGAGTAACATTTTTATTGTTTTATAACCGAGCCTACAATCTTTTTTCAAAGTTAAGGTCAGGGTTACCACTTCTTCAAAATTGTGAGAATGATGGTTTGGCAACCTGTATTTTTTCAATCTTTGAATGTATTTAATTCACGCAAAAAGTAATAGGCCGATTTTAAAAATTCTTTCACCATTACAAAGGTAATTTATCTGCAAGTAATATAAGTTGCATTTTGTATTATTTTTTAATATTACTCGGGCGAAGTCGCGAACAACACCTTGTATTATATGACTATACTATGTTAACTATAAAGGTGGTAATACACCTGGCAGTAAAATTCAACGAAATTGTATTAGACAAGAAGTTTCAGTATCGTCTCGTAACTTCTGGATCATTGACTCAGTTTACTGATACTGTCACAAATTTATATAGTTATCATACCAATACTATAAATATGAAAGTTTAGATGGATGGATGTTTGTTAGAGTTTGTAGCCTAAACTGCTAAACGGATCTCGGAACGGAGGGTAGTCTGGAAGAACAAACAGGCTACTTGTTTTTTTTTTAATACCACGCGGTCGGCGTCGCGTGCGAAAGCTAGTTATGCTATAAATATTATGGCTATTTGCATTGCATTCTTTCATACCTGTAGAAGGCACGCGCCAGTATCCAAGTGCATTCCCGGCCTAACCTAGCTAATCTTGTGGCAACGTAGTTCTCAAGTATAACAAAAGATGGCGTTTATTTATAATGCTTACTGTCAATACTACTCAGACTATTTCTTTTTGAAACATATTTATACAAATCAATCTAACATTATACATGCGAAAGTATAAATGGATAGATGTTTGTTAGAGTTTGAACTCTAAACGGTTGAACGAATGATGAAATTTGGTATAAATGTTGAGGATAGTCTTGAAGAACACATAAGCTAATTTTGTTTTTTTCTAATTTCTCGCGGACGGAGTCGTGGGCTTGTTAAATCATAATAATAACTTTTTCATGAAACCAAACGCAAAAAATTATCAAAACCTAAAAATAACATCCATCAATCGTACTGTGTATCTACATATTTCGGGAAAACCCAAGATACAAAGGAGCAGAGGTCAAATTCTGTTTGATAATTATGTTAGATCCAGAGACATATAGCGTTAATAGACGAGACTATCAGGAAAATACTCTAAATAAATCTGCAATTTTAGTATCTGTGCAACTTAGGGCATGTCCCACCACTGGGCGATTTCGACAACATATAAGGCATATACAGCCAGTGTCATCGATATACGAAATTGTTTTGACTATTACGTATGTTTGCATAGACTAAAGTTGCTTATAGACGTAACTGTAGAGATTTTTATAAAAATTAATGATTCAAAAATGTGCTATAAACAATAATGTCACAGGAAAAATTAGATAGTCTTAATGCAATTAAGCTTAAATGTCTATTCGTAATGTCCGCTCTATAACTAATATTATATTTTAACATCTTTAGTTAGTTCAAAAGTTAAATGTAAAACATGGACACACATTTTAGTAGTGCTGTCAAGTGTATTTTACCGTGGGATTCCACTACTGTTACATTTTTATAAAGAATGTTGTTATCTTTCTCATCACCTCGGAACAAACTGAGATAACAATATGCAATCTTAAGAATATTACTGCAGGAAAACCCATGGTTAAATATTCTTTTTTTAATTAAATTACACAACACTAATTAAGCTATAGGGCAAACGAGCTTCAGTTTTGATTGTACAGTTCAAATGTACATTTAAAACTAAAGGGATACATTTGTGAAATACGTATATAAAGTTTATCATTCTTTACAAACAAGTGAGCAATGTCTGATTAGTTATTCTGTTCATTTTAACGAGCTGTAGTATCGAATGATTCAGTATACTTTAAACAACGCGGTCAAACGGTCGACATAATGCGACTACCATTTATCTTCCTTACTTTACTATCAACATGTTATTGTAAAATTGAATTCAGTGAAAGAGCAAGGAATTTTAGTATCGAATTACTATACTATACAGCTGAAGAAACACAATGGCACACTGTGATATCACCGTTCGGAGTTTGGACACTACTCACTGCTGTATCCGTTGGAGCTGAGGATTCCAGTCGCAATCAACTACTAAAAACATTAATACTACCCAAGAAACAACAGACATTAATTGATGGATTCAAAAACCTAACCAAAACCGTCTTAAACACTGGCACTCCTGAAGTGGAATTAAAAAATAAAAACTTCCTATTCAGTGACAGCAGTTTTTTATTGAAGCACGATTTCACAAAGAGCATGCAGAGAAATTTTAGTGCTATCGTTAGCAGGCTAAACTTCAAAACAGAGTCAGCAGCGGAATTAGCGAACAATGTAATCAAACGATCTGGTCTTAAGCTTAACAACGTATTAAAGCCTAGCGATTTTCAAGATTCCAAAATGATATTAACCAATGTTATATCACTAAAAGCATATTGGAAAGTGCCATTTAATGTATCAGATACAAAAATATCACCATTTTACGATGAAAACGGTAAAGAAATTGGTAAAGTAAACATGATGTATTTAGAAGATACGCCACCTTATTCTAGCTTTGACGAAATCGGAGCATCTATACTGGAACTGGCTTACGGCGATGAAGATATCAGCAAATACTCATTACTTGTAATATTACCCGAACCCGGTGTGAGTGTAGCGTCAGTCTATAGACGTTTATCTGATATTTCTCTCAAGGATATATTTGCTAAACTACAGAGTGACATGGACATGTTTGGTATGACTTCAGTCGTCGTCAACGTGCCGAGGTTTAAGATTAGTACGAAATTGGTATTAAACAAACCGTTATTCACAATGGGTGTTGAAGATATATTCGATCCAGGCGCAGCAAACTTCAAAGGTATAACTGAAAGTAACAATGTTTTCGTATCATCTATAGTACATAATGCTGTTATAGAAGTAACAGAAACTGGGACCGTAGCTTCAGCTACGACTTACGCATATTTCGCGGATAGAGCAAGACCATCTGTTTTTAACGCGAATCGACCATTTATCTATTTCGTTCTTGAGAAAACAACAAACACAATTTTATTTAGTGGTGCTTATACTAAGCCATCCGTCTTTTAAAATGTTTAAGTAAGCAGAAGATATGTCTTGTTGTGACATAAATTTATTTTGTAAATTATATAAAAATATTGAATAATGATTGTACATTTTAGTTGTATAAAACTTTTTGTGTAAATAAAAATTACTAAGTAAGAGTAAATTGTCTAAATTACTTTTTAATGAAGTTCCCAAAAGAAGGAGGTTATCAATTCGTGTATATTTTTTGTTATGTTTCTTACCGCCTATCTCCGGCCTTGCTGGACCTAATTAAAGGTATAAAAAAATATAAAAAAAGGCTGTGTTTACTAAATCATACTAACTACTATAAAGGAGAATGTTTCATTTGTTACTCACCTCAGTTGGAGAAATATGGTGGGCCTATAATTTTTTATCTTCACGACGAAAATGTCGGGGAAATAGCTAATAAAATAATTATTTGACCAAAACTGGAAAGGCTGGGTTAAAACAGTGGACTTTTTTTCCATTAGTTACTTAGTTATTCTACGAGAGTGTAGTTGTTAGTATTATTAATAACTAGCTATTGCCCGCGACTTCGTACACTTAATATTAAGATATAAAGTAGCCTATAATAAGTCCGTCTCGATCATTCCGGTCAAAATCGGTCCAGCCGTTTCGGAGATTACCCGGAACAAACGCGGCTTGCGGACAGACAAACAGCCAACATATTTTTAAATGCGATTTTTGTTATCAGCAACGCAAATACATCATCTTCCCGAAATCTGGAATTTTTCTTTTGATATTACTCCAATTTTATTACATGTATAGATATATTCATTTATTCATTTTAAACACATAACGCAATTTACTGTAGGTTATTGAACTAAAGATAAATCAAGTCATTACATTTTCCAAAAACGGTCTAGACATTATTCTAACCTTATTCAATACACAAAATAAAAATAAATACATGCGGAGTTGGGCACAACTGCTAGTCAAAATGTAATACATTGAAACATATTACGTCACAATTATAACACATAAATAGTGACTCAGTCCTCAGAATGCGTTGTCAATTTTTTTTCCTTATTGCGTATTTGCGCATCAAGAAATCCCCACTTGTGTGTACCAATTTTACACCACACATATAGTATATTGTACACATATGGCCAGAATAACCAGGGTTACTTCCATCAATTAGGAAATATTGTTCTATCTTATCGTATATTAAATTAAATATATAAGTACGGAGACATGACTAACTATAAACAGTTGTAAAAACAGCATTAATTCAGTTTTATACAGACGTAGCAGTGAACGGACGTCACAATGAAAATTATTTTAATTTTATTCGGTTTGTTTTCAACGGGCTATTGCAAAGTTGAATTCAGTGATAGAGCGAGGAATTTCAGTATTGAACTGTTATACTATACAGCCGAAGAGACAAACTGGCACACTGTTATATCACCTTTTGGGGTATGGTCACTTTTGACAGCTGTCACATTAGGAGCGACGGGGTCCAGCCGTGACCAACTTGTTAGAACTCTGATACTTCCTAAGAAGAAAGAAAACATAATCAACGGATATCAATCGTTAACCTCGGCTGTACTTAAATCTGAAGCTGGTGCAGTGGAATTGAAGAATAGAAACTATTTATTTGGCGACAGTGATTTCTTAATAAAGTCAGATTTTATAAAGGACATACGAAACAAATTCAAAGCGATACTAACGAAGCTTAACTTTAAACCTAAAGAGACGGCGGCGAAGCTAGCAAATGAGGTTATTAAGAAGAAAGGTGTGGCAGTTTCGAACGTGCTACAGCCTGATGATTTCGAAAATTCCAGAATGATATTAACCAACGTTATAACTTTCAAAGGTTTTTGGCAATCGCCCTTCAATGCTTCATTAACAAATGTAGCGCCATTTTACGATGAAAATAATAACCAAATAGGCGAAGTCAATATGATGAATCAAGAAGGAAGTTTCTCATATTCCAGTTTTGAAAACATCGAGGGCTCAGTGCTTGAATTACCGTACGGTGTTGATGAGATCAACAAATACTCATTTTTAGCTATTCTACCATATAAAGGCGTCAAAGTATCTAGTGTTTACAAAAAATTGTCTAAAGTAAATCTCAAAGATGTAATGCTTAAATTGCAAACCGACAATGATTTGTATGGAACTACAGAGGTAGTGGTCAATTTGCCTAGGTTTAAAATTAGTACTAACGTGATTTTAAACCGTCCATTAAATAAGATGGGACTGGTTGATATTTTCGATCCTAGTTCAGCCAACTTTAATGCAATAACTAATTCAGAGATATTTGTATCATCAATTGTTCACAAAGCTGATATTGAAGTAACAGAAACGGGAACGATAGCGTCAGCTTCAACATCATCGCAATTCTCCGATAGAATGATGCCGGTTAATTTCAACGCAAACAGACCATTCATATATTTAATTCTAGAAAAATCAACAAACACTGTAATATTCAGTGGTATTTACTCAAAGCCATCTAAATTTTAAAATATATTTATAATAATAATCAGACCTTTTCGAGACTGACTCATATTGCATTTAGTATTTATCTACTAAGCTATTATAATATTTAGCTGTTGCCATGCGCTTTCATTCGCATTATAGAACTTTATTTTATTTTATTGTTTATTTATTTACATTCAGTTAAACTCTCATTTGCAAATCAAAGCTCTTTGCTATTGGCTTATGGTTTTTGTTCCTTTTCTGTATAACATTTTATGCAATTTAATTTAGTTTAAATGAAATTCCGTTAATATAGTAGATAGTCGTGTGATTTTTATTAAAAAAATATCACATTACGCTGTGATTGCTGATATCTTATAAAACAAAGAAGTGTGTTTACGTTTTACTATATCAAGTTTAGATTAAATGGTAAAATAAACAAAAGAGAAACAAATAAATGAATAAAATAAACAACAAGCTTATTTCAATTATTTCTTGTAGGTTAACGTAACCTTATTCTTCTAAGAACTAATTCAGAAATCGATAACTATTTAAGGAATTTATTACGAAAGTATAGGGAACTTCAGAAGAGGATATTGGAGGCATAATACTCCACATTTACGTCCCCTCTTTTAAAAAATAATAAAAAAAATACTGACAAGAATTTCTTAGAGAGAAAATAAAAATAAAGGAAATTTTAGAGAGAACATGCGTTCTTTTGTAACCTCTTGACAAATAAACAGTTAGATTTATTTTGTATATTTATTTTATGTTATTTATCTATCGGTTTTTATAAATGGTTTATAATCATCTTCCAATTTTCAAAGCTATAGAGTCGAAGTGTTGTCAATATTTTGATAAATGAGACATTGCGTATTTCCGCGACTGTACTTTTGTTCTTAATTCAAATTCCGAGTATTACAAGTACGAAGCGACCGATATTAATGTTGCCATTTAGTGATAACCTTTTATATCTTGGTACAGAGTACATTAACTATAGCATAATTATATCTTTAAAACTCAAATGTAAACAAAATAGTAGGTTTATCATAATTACGAAACATACTTAACTCAAATTTTACTAATAATATTAATGCCTAAAGTTTAAATGGATGGATGGATGGATTACTATAAAATAACTTCTATCAAATTATTACGAATTATTTTGAAATGCATTGAAACTATGCGCCTGCCAATTATTTATCCGCAATTCTTTTAACATTCATTTTTGCTATAGAATATAGTAGGAGTCTAGTTCATTTTTCGTTTTTAATTAATTTACATTTTTCCTCATAAATACAACAATGTAATACACCTACTTTTTAAATCATCAAGTGTGCATAGTATCAATCTTTAAGGTAAAACCAAACTGTAAAGATAAACGTTAACTAATACGGGTGTTCAAAGAATTAAAATTGTGAAACAATCCTCAAATGGGATTTCCAAGTGAAATGTATCGACGCTTTAGAAAGTCGGAACGAAATACAACTGGACTACCAGCGAAAACATTTTTGTGTGAATACGATAGTCGTTTTTATTTTATCTGTACTAATATTTTAGACAGGAAAACTTTGTTTGCTTGAAATGAAATAATTCAAGAACTACAGGGACGATTTGAAAAATTCTTTTTTTTTAACATAAAGTGGCAGACGAGCAAGCAGCCACCTGAATCCGCCAAAATGGCGAAGCGACCGCTGCCCATAGACATCAATAATATAGACAATAGACTTATTCGACAGAGGAGGAGACGCACATAAAGGGGATTTTTGCCCTTCCAGTGCATCTCCTCCTCCGTCAAATACACTTCCCCCTCCCATCCTCTCCTTAAAAGAAGAGGGTGGTAAAGAGAGAGGGACTTAAATTAGGCCTCCGGCACCACACTCATCAGACGAAACACGGAATTGCTTCCATTTCACGCCTGTCTTCTGTGTGGTCGTAGTATTACACCAGGCGTGCCGACTCTGCAGTGCTAAGATGTTAATGCGAACACTACAACTGTAATTTTTTCAACATTAAAAAAATACGTTGCCAGTATGTAACATAGGCCATGTTTTATATTACTTTCTAATTTCACGAGGATGGAGTCGTGGGCGAAAGCTAGTCTTGTATAAACCAGCGCTTGACCACGATCCTATCTAGACCAAAGAAGATGTGGTCCAAGGTTATTTTATAAAATATATTAATTAACGCAACAGTATGTAAATTTAACGTTTTAACTTGACAGGCAATATAGGGGCTATGACACTTTTAGGCTAAACCCGCATTTAAAAATGAAAACCCAATACTATAAACATATCCTACCAACTATTTAGTAACGAGTTTTGTCAATTCTACATACCTCCAAAATCGTCCGGGATTTCAAGCGAAGACAACGTAGACATTAAGTTAAAAACATTATCGAATTGAATGTATATATGATTTTAAACATGACCGTATGTTCTTTAAAAACTGCACATGAAAGTTATATAAACAAAACATTACACTATCACACATCACAAACACTAGGAAAAAATAATAAATCTACGTATATATCTTAAAGAATAAATTGTGTTAACCTAATTAATAATTAAATTGCGAGTTGCATTTAACCTGACATTACGATGGTGTCAAATCAATATACTTTTAAAAATATTTTAAAACTAATCACTCCAACCGGCCAGGATTAATTTCAGATAAAAACTCTTTGGTGAACTCATCATTGTAAAACGAAACAAGATACCGTAATAAATAAAATACATTTTTATATTGTATTTTAAAAACAATCAAGAATAAATTACTGGACATCATTTAAGGGTACTCAATAAGGTTATAAATCATTTAACCCTAATGGAAGATGGTCCTAATCTCTCCATAAGACTTATACTTCTTTTATTGCCTCATGCACGCATTGATTACATCCTTAGTTTTGTAACTGAGCAGTACAATCCATTACGTCTGTCCCAACTGACAAGGGTAAATTTTGTATGTCCATTATATTTTATCCTTCTTTTTCATATTCTTGCTACTCGATCATCATCATCAGCTTGCCCTTATCATCGTACATTATGTGCTGTTCTTCCATACATTTCTATCAGCCGTCATACCTGAATTCAGTCCCTTCTTATTCATATCTTTCCCACTATTCATACTTTCTACAGTCTTGCTCTACCTTTGTAACCGCCCACATTTATTCATAACATGTTCTTGTTTATGACCTTATCCTCTGGTCGCATATTGACTACTACCTTTTGCTTCTCAAGTTCTTCTTTTTACCAAGTAAAGTTATAAGGACTGAGTCAGTTTATATCATTACCAATTATTCATTTTAATTCCAAATATCACAAATACGTAAATGAAGTAACCCAAAGGACTCGTGACTGTGATCACGAAGTAAAGATTTAAATACGTTATTGGTAAAACCCTTTGTAAGGAAACTAATCGTACCACATTACCGATCATTGGAGGCACGTACGTTCAAAAATTGTGATACTCGTTGATCTTTTTTACTCATTGTACCCCTTGAGGGGTCCGCCTACTCTAAGTGGTTATTAACCCATAATCAACCATGCTGGTCTGGTACGGGTTGTATACACATATCTTTGAATTTCTTCGCATGTGCAGATTGCATCATGAAGTTCTCTCTCGCCGCAATAGTGTCTGATAAATGTACATATGAAACGAAAGTCGAAATACACAGGATTCGATCAGGAGCTGTAGATTGCAAGTCAAGTACTTAAACTGATCCTCAAATATTTTTATCGTCTCATCAAATATAAGGATGCTTTAAACTAAAGGACAGAAAGATTACACTAAAGGACGGAAACACATTTTTTGCCACAAAGAAAAAAACAACACTGAAGTCTGTCCAGAAATGCACTGAAAGCTGATGGTGATGAAGATAATCTTCGGCAGGGTGTCAAAGAGTCAGCCTCCTAGAGTATTGATTTTAAACTATACCTACCTATATAAAATTGAACTTCAGTTGAATTTTGATAGGGTCTACGATTAAAATGAATGGGATTTTCTCATCTACTTCGTGGGTTTTATCTTTAATGCGTCGATGTATATGGCCGCCATTTTTTCTTTTGACGTCACAGGGAGCTTCCGTGAAATGACTGTTTCCACGGAAGTATCTGACTTAACAGTAAAGTGTAGCTAGCGGTTCTTGTAAACAACAGTTACCTTGATTCAAGTTTTAATTACATCATATTGATGTAATTTACGTATGTTTGTATATAGTTTTAAGTTAATAGGAGTAAGTCGTTAAATCATTGCCTATCAAAACCAGTAGAATACACGCGAAACTCGTAGCATAGAATTAAGATAATTCTTTTAAAAGTCGATAAACCTGTTCCTAATATCAAAATACACAATCTATATATTTTGATTGGTTTTACCAAGTTCATATTAGTCTCGGTTGTGTTAATAGAAACCAGTTTTATAGTCTCCAATGGTTGGATAAAATAAAAAACAAATCTCGAAATGCTCGCCACAAATGGCGTCGTTATGACGCATAGAATATACAATCGTGCTACAAACAGGTGTCATCTAAAAGGAAGGTGTACACACGGAGAGTTAATGTTGTGCTCAGTCTGACTCCGGCCACGTCCGCGAACGGCCGCACGATGTATCGAATTGTGACGTTTCTACTTTTCGCTTCGACGTGTTATTGTAAGACGGAGTTTAGTGGACGTGCAAGGAACTTTAGCATCGAATTGCTGCATTATACAGCACAGGAGACAGGCGGTCATGTCGTCATATCTCCCTTCGGTGTATGGACCCTGATGACGGGCGTCGCACTTGGCGCGACGGGCCAAAGCTATGAGCAACTTACAAATG